AATATTTATGTATAAAAAAAAAATAAAAAAATTAACACGTCTTTTAATTTAATGCCGTTTGAAATAAAAACAAATTAATAATAAAATTTTTACTATTTAAAAATTTTTTTTCAACGAATGTGTGCACTATGAATGAAATACATCGAAATATTCCTAACCCTTGTCGACGCCGGTTTCTGCAATACACGCCTCTTTGTATCCTTTCAATTTTTGTTTTTGCTCGTCAGTAAGCGTGGCCTGAAAAAAAAAAAAGATGTATTCCTTAGTAATTCCAAGCTTTCAACAAAAACCACCAATAAAAAATTCAAAATTCTGCGGATTGAAGTAGCTGTAAAAAATATCCACCGATGCTCGTACTTAGTAATTTTATAAGAAAAAAAAAATCTTTTTTCTTTTTTTTTTTTTCATTCATTTGCCAAAATTTCAAAATGTGTCACCTCGCAAGGGTACTTACGCAAAAGGCACCAACGATACAGATAACCAAAAAGGCAAATAGGACCTTCATGTTTCCTAGGAGCACGGAATAAGGATCAACCGAATCGGCAAAATACGAAAATATCACAAAGCCACGTACGTATAGCGTCGAAAAGCGCTGTTCTGTGGCATAGGTCTATCGACCGCTCCTTTTTATAGGTGTGCTCGTGAGCGCGCGGATATTACGGTGGTGGCTAATTGTCTATTGTCTGGCTCTAGGCAGCGTTGTTGCGTCGAATCGCCACAAAATCGGTATAGTTTTGCATGTACCTATATACTTTAGTGCTACACACACACACACACACACATACATCTGTTGTACACACGGCAGTGCTGTGTATAGTTTATCGCATTCGATCGTCGTCATTGACACAATAAATTGTTTTTTTTTTTATTTTATTTTTTTTTTTTTTCACCGATCGTGCTCGCACTTGCGTGTGTGACGTTTACAAAAGATATCGGTATGAAAGGAGGTTCAAATTACGATCGAGAACGAAGAGAATGATGATCCTGTGGTGGTAGGTGTGTGCAGCGAGCCTAGTGGGAAGAGCTATTGTGCAGCCTATCGGACTCGGGATCTGAGAAAAATTGAAGCTTCGGATTTCGAGCATCAATTACAGGTGCAATTTTTTGCGAGAAAAAAATTCTGTTTGTAAAAAAAAAAAAAAAATGATAACTCTTGGCTACTCGGAGAGAGGATTTTTCCTTGTGGATTGCAAGTGCTGCGTACGTATTCGGACAGTAACAATGTCGATGGCCATGATTTTTGATATCTTTATTTTTATGTACAAAACTATCGCTTATTGTCAAATTTTCAAATACTCAGAAATAAAATGTTTAATCTTTAAAACAATCAGCTTTATTTTCTTGTAGAAATTTTTTTTTACTGCTTATACTTATAAAACAAGGCTTTAAAAAATTTTTTCCAACAAAAATAGTGGGATGCATTTATAGACAATTATGTTTATTGTAAAGGATTTAAAATATCTATCTCATCTAATATTTTTTTTTCACGTTACCAATTAATTTTATAGATCATGTCATTTTGTAACAACTTATAAGACTTTGAAGCTATAAAGTTTTTTATAAAACTGTAACAAATAGGCTTAAACGTCAATTAAACTTCATTCAGTTTCAAAATTTTAGTATTTTACGTACCAAAGATAATAAAGATGCGTATGATGTAATCAACGAACTAATAATTGCACTATAGTACTTAAACAATAAATCAGCGATACAGTTTATAATGCAATTTTTTTTTTTTTTCTATAGAGCATGATGTATGTTTTTTTACGATTGCTATCAAAGTCAGAAATATTTTAATTTAATGGAGGAAAGAAGTTCCGTCTAGCATCCATTGAACATATATTCTTGGCTATTTTATTTTTAATTATATGCATTGCAACACTGTTGCGTAAAGGCACCCACTGAGCAAAACCAATTAAAAGTTTTCAAGTCGGACAACTCATTGGCCTGATCAAGTGGATTGGCTGACTCGTTGGCTTCTGCTATCAAAATATTCTATCTTAAAAAAAGAGAATAATTTTGAATGAAAATTGTTTTCACAAAATGTAGTTGAAATTGCAATTTGATTGAACTATCTTTAGTTTACAGACATAAAGTAAAATGTACTATGAGTGAATTATACAAAAAAAAAACTACTTATCGAAATGTGTATCATTAGAAAATGTTTTTAATGAGTATGAAAAATGCACCTGATTTCTATTACTTTTGTAGTTGCTTTCAATGACTACGAAGTCAAACCGTAATTACTTACTAAAAAGATGGAATAGAGCAACGGTTTATTTTAAAAAGTTATCATTTTCTTGCAAAAAATAATATTGTAATCCATGTAATAATCAAGATGCATAGTACATGATACTATTCTTTGGTTTTTATTAATATTTAATTATTCGTATTCGTAAGATTAAACATACATTATTGAAATGATGCAAAAAAATTTTAACTAATATTTATATGATAAAACTTTCATTGTGCAGTAAGAATTACCAAATAATTGAGAATATTGTAAGTTTTCTGATTGCAAAAAAAATATGTGTCATGGCTCAATCGTTTTTATAAAAAATGTATCCTTTACATCCGTTTTATTATTTTTAGGCAGGGCCTATACATGGAAGTGCCTTATTATCATTATTTTTTGTCATCATTTCTTAAAAATGTTTTAGCAACACCTTCAGGCATGACTCACCTTTCTTATTTTCTGCCTACAACAATACAGTTTTTTTCTTGTCAGCAATAGCAATATTTCATTATAAATTAACTAATATCGCGACAAAATACACTGCAATTTATTAATATGAAACGATAAAACATTCACTGATGCATCATTCGAGCTTCCACAAGAACTAATGGTATAGATATATTTAAATACAATAGAAATTTTTTTCCACACATTTGCAGTTATTCTTCCATTACACTTTTTATTCAGCCGTTTTTTGCCTAATCAGAAACAACACTGCTGTTTCAAGGCCAAGGACTAAGTGATCCTTCGTAAAAACTATCCTTCTTTGTTTCTGTTGGTATTGCTATTGTTATTATGCATATTTTTTGAGCATTTAACTATGAATTATTAAAATAAATAAAAAAATATGGTAAAAAATCTCATGATCAAAGAAGATTCCTACCGAAAATAAAAACTTAAGAATAAGTTTAAAAGTGCCTGAAAATTGAAAAGAAAATTAATGACTGAAACTATCAGCTTTTGGTACCAGTGAATCCTTTTAAATTTGCTCTTTTTAATTTTAATAATTCACGCAGACTTACTTTGATCAGCTCTTTTTCATTTGTTCTCCTATTATATAATACTTGGATGTTACTAAGTAGGAAAGATCAAAAAGATTGTTATTCTTATTAAAATAAAGAAGATAAATCTTTATTTGAAAAACAAGGTCATGGAAAACACGCGACTACGTAAAGTTGAATGTGTTGCGCATAACTGCATCAAATTAAATAATTTTCTTTATTTTTATTACTAATACGTAGTATGTGGTAAAGTTGATAGCACATAAGCCAACCTATAGATTTAAGTTTTTGTAGAGCACAAAGAAAAGAGCAAAGCTTCCTTGCAGCTTTCCTCAGTTGAAAAAATTTATTGCAAAATTTTAAAGGTAAAAAACTGCCGAGCATTAATAGTTGCGCAACTATGGATCTAAGTACGATGGTTTGCGTATGAGTTTTTTTTTTTTTTTTTTTTATTTGCGTCATTTTCATCGAAGCCAAGCATCGCAGCGTACGATTGCATTACTACCGTGAATCCCGTGAGAAGCTCGTTCATTGGATATTTTTTGCTTGTATACTGAACCCCAGAACACTTACTTTGGGCGCTGATGAAAATTGGACAACAGCACAATAATTTGAAAAAATAATCTTGTGTCTCTTGAAAATTTAAAAAAAGTGTAGGTTTTTTTGGATGTTTTTTTATGAACAAATAAGTTTTATACTAGTATTTCTCTTGGTATTTAATACAATTCTGATAAAATAAAATTCTTAAAAGAGCATCTTTTTGTAAAGTTGAAATATTGTTAAAGAAAAGTAAATTATTACTCAATTACATTTCCCGTTGTTGGTTTCCCAAAAATAATGGCACGAATCTCTCTAAAATTTAAATATGTTGTAAGCACTGCTACTTTTATTGAGTCGTTGAAAAATTTCAAGAACTGTATACTAATATTTTGTCAGCATCCCCTTACCTGAAAAAATTTTTTTTTTAATTTTTACAATAATTGATTCATATGCTATTTCTAAATAAATTTCATGGTATTTTCATCATTCTTATTTCCTTTTTATTATTTACAAGAGAAATTTCTTAAAATTGATTAAAATATAAAAATAAACATATAGAGCATCGTTTTAAACATCAACATGGTAAACGTCACTTAGCAAGCAGTCTTAAGTGCACTTACGCTTTTTTTATTCAGAAAAACCAGAGACCTTCGGATTTAAAACTTAAAAAATCGTACATGTGACAGAGTGCTTATGGTCTTCTTCAAGAAAAATAAGTGCAGTATTTATTTTTAGTTTCGTAGTTTTTGTTGATTTTTTTTTCCGTGGATATATCACAGATAATTCAAGTCAAGACCAAATCGATGAAAATAACTGAGTCCGTTGTTAAGGAAGCTAACCTGGCCGATCTCGACTTGCACCATTGGGCCCAGACATTGAAGCACACAAAGAGTTAAGGACACTGCTACGCAACAGTATGGCAAAACAATTATTTTGCAACTGTCTGCACAAGTGAATAAACAAATAAAACGATCGGAAATTAATTTTATCTTATCAACCGGTGCTGTTAAATCATTACATAATTTTTTTTTTTTTTTTTTTTTTTTAAGCAAGACAAACATTACGTGAAAGCAAGTAAATATTTAAGCCAGTAATAAAAAGGATGTAGTTAATTTGAAGACAAGAAAGTTCATGCCTTATCAAAATAATGATAAAAGAATACGGGTATTTATGCACCAGATTGCGTATGACTTCCGCAGGCATATATAAAAAGAACCCGGAGTTACTTACCAGTACCTGACTAAGGAGTAAATTACGCACAGAGAGTGTATTATTCAGCCATGAATTTTGCTATTACTATTTTCGTTTTCTGCATCGCTGGGGCTTTTGCGGTAGGATAAAAATCTTCACACTAATTAATTCATGTTGAATTTAATATTAATAACACATAATTTTCACAATGAATTTGTTGACAAATTTTTTACTACTGGTGTGTAAGGGTCACATCAAGGGTCACATTATTGTGCTGTATTTTTATGTATTTAAAATTTGATCCTGAATTAAGGATATCACCAATACCATATAGATAATCAGCAATGGTTGCATGAAAAATATTTTACAATAGATTAAAATCATGTAATCCTTTTGCAAAAGACAAACTATATCTTTGAGTTGCCTTAAAAATTATTTAAATTTATTAGTAACGGTATAAATTATTAGTAATAATGTTTATATTTTAATTTGAATTTAACAGCCCAAGTACACACTATAGCTTTTATAGACATAAATATGGTAACGCTTTTCATCTGCATAATGTTTTTTTGGTCATATTCATTTAAAAGCTAAAATTAATAAATATGTTCTTGGTTATCACTGATGCAGCAATGTCTGAAACAAATTTAACTACTTTGTTGTGTCCCAAAAATATTTTAAGATCAATGTTATGCACAAAAATAAACAATTACTTTTTTTTAGGGAACATTAGCTGGCAAAAAAAATTTGCATGACATCAACTCCTGCCTTGTCGATTTTGGAATAGATCCAGGTACTTGTAAACTGATTGTTGGATAATTTTACCATAAACTGATATGATGAAAATTATTGTTTACTATTTTTTGCAGATGTTTACGTAGCAAACAATATTCCTTTTCCTAGTGAACAATATTACTGTCCCTTTGCGTGTGTTTACAAAAATATGGGAATCGTAAGTTTATAAAGTTTTTTTAATACAATTTAAATTTAAATTTAATTTGATACCTTATTATATATTTGCTTATAACGTTGATAAGTTAAATGTACCATGACTTTATTATATTAATTAAAGAAATTCATTAAAATTAAATGAAAAACAATTTTAACAATTACAAAAAATAAGTAAATAATTGGTTTTAAGTTTGACTCGATGCATACTTGAGAACCATGAGAAAAAAACGCCGTTAATAATTTTAAAATGTTTTAAGATTTTCTTTTAATAGTTAAAAGATGGGAGCAAGCTTTTTACCAATTGAATATTTTTCAAAATTTTCTCAGTTGATTGCTCAGTTGTAGAATCCTACGCAACACATGTAATTATTTAAACAGTTGACGTATCGTTGACGATAGTTATTATAAAATTAAATTTTGCTAGTGGAATGCTTACAAAATTGATCTTGTTTGACGCCAAAAATTTAATTCATTTTATTGTACTGGATATTCGGTCTGTCAAAAAAGAAAGTAGAAATATTGCTTTTAAAATTTTTGAAAGCTATTCAGAGTGAAGTTTTTAAAAAATTTTTAAAATTATTTAGTATAAAAAAATTTAATTTAATTTCTAGATGAAACCAGATGGAACCATAGACTTGACTAAGGTCGGAGCATACACGAAAGACAATATAGAAGATACTAACAATTTTTACAAAGTGCATAACGCATGCAAAGATGGTAAAAAATCAGTTTATCATTAAAATCAGCAGAACTATAGTTTTAATTACTTTGTGTTCAATTTTCAGGACGAATTGGTTGCAGCTTGGTTCAATGTATGTTTAAAGAACTGTTCCACACATCGATGTAGAGTAAGCCATCACTTTGATAATGAAGAGAAAAATTAAATCAATTTTTATTTACTTTAAAATGATAAAAATTTTTATTTGTTGTACAGTTAGTTAAGTGACGTGAGTAATATTATATGCTGTATTTTTTAGGATATATTTTTTACGTAACTTTTTCCATCTCATCTGTTCTTTATCATCGTTGTATTAAGGTAATTAATAAAGAAAAAAATCTTGTTAAAAATCTGAAAACCCGAGTAACAATATTTATTATTTTTATCAGCCTTTCCATTAATCATTACAAAAGTTAAATTTAATCTAAAAAATTGATTTAACAGATTTATCTTTGGTAAGATAGCTATGAAAATGGAATGAATTTTTTGACGTTGATTTTTGCTGCTTTTCATTTGTAAGAATTACAATTTTATAAACAAATAAAAAACTTTATGATCAGTATAAAACTATTCAGTCGAGCTCAGTAAATTGATTAGCAATATCACACTCCAAATAATAAAAAAATTATACTATCTTCTCGGAATTCTCTCTAGATAAAGGTACATCGAAAACAATAACAGCTTTGAACTAAACAAATTTCACGACAATCACGGTTATATCAGTTTAATCATTATTTTGCTTGGTATAATATGTCCTCTTGATCAACAACTCAATATTTTTGAAATAACTTTAATTTAACCACTGGTTATACACATCGCAAAATCTCCGTTTTTGTAAGACAACATTTTTACAATTGTCTTTTTTCCTACTAGCTAATATTTACGCACTGACAATGATTTGGCTGTAATTTTGTTGTATTTTTTTTTCTCAATAAAAACCTTATTCTATTAGCACGATGAAATTTCCAAACTACTCAAACAATTTTACATAGTTAGAGATGCAAAATCACAAATAAATTCGTACGATAATTTAAGAACAATTGTACAAAAATAAATTTTATCACCCAAATAATTTACGGAAAAAATTAATATTATACACAAAAAGTTTCAAATACATCATTAAATAATATCAAAAGATGGTTTCGTGCAAGCTAATCGCAACGTTGTTGTTCTAAGTATTGATTAATTGATCTTGTTGTCTCCTACACGAAGGAATTATTTTGTGTAATAACTTATTTTTACAATCATAACTCAAAATTAGGACAAATAAAAATTTATTCTTAGATCTCTGCATATAAGTAAATAATAAATAAATCATGAACATTTTTATTACTTTAAGTTTATAATTTTAAATGACGATATTAATTGTATGAATTTCTATCAATTCGGCGATTTTTTAAGATCCTGATAGCATCTTGCTAACTTGCAAATATCACTTCCAGCTGAAAAAATCGTTACTGTATAAGTGCACAGTCAAATAAAAAAAGGCTAAATTATGAAACAACTAACCATAAATATAAAAATTAGCTAATTACCTTGAAGCTTGCATATGTTCACTATACCATCAAGTTTTCGATTGCCTTCTTCCCCAAATGCAGAATTAGACAGAATAGTTTCTACATTGAAAGTCCCGTCTTTTTTCATCTGAAAAATACACGTTATGGCAATTATATTTAAATCAACAAGTATTATTAAATACTAGGATTTTGTTTGAAACTACAAAAGTGTGAGAAAACTCGAGTATTTGATATTTGTAAACGTAAATATCCTATATTATTAAATATACCAACCAAGTTCGTTCGATCTTTGTTGGGAAAAGCTTAATATCTATTTTAGTGTGGTTGTAAATATCTATATATTAAATAAAACATATACGATTCTTTAGTAATATATACCCACAAGTTTCAGGCAAGTACACTTACGTTAGCATAAGTACCTGGATCAAGTCCATTTTCGATGAGACAAGTTATCATGTCCTCATTTTCTTCGTTGTCAAGACTTGCCAGATTGTCCTATCAAGTAATGAAAACGATTCACTATAATTAATTAACTGGATAGCAATAAAATTTTTATTAAGCTATGTATTTCCTTGACTTGTGTAATAATGACTCATTAGTAATAAAAAATAAATAAATTAGTTACAGCTGTTCTTTAGAACACAAAAAGAAAAAAAAAAACACTTATATTACTACACAAAATTTTGAATTATTTTAATGAATTTAAACATAAAAATTAAAAATTCTAACTTGGGTTTGAAAAAATTAATCACATGAAGAATCGAAGCTGTAATTATTACAAATACAAAATCAAAAAAACACACACGTACAGCGTATGCAACGGTTACAAAAAATAACAAAGCAGAAGCAGAAATTATTTTTGGGCTAATATATAACAACATGATGGTGGCAGTGATTTGTGCTGATGATATACGTTCGGCGACTATTCACCAAACTGCACTGAAGCAGTGGTGCAGTCGATCGCACGTAATGCGTGAGTGCATTATAAAGTGTCAACTTACGAATTGAACAGAGCAACTATGTATTATTCAATTGGGGCACTGCCTTGTTATCCAGTTGCACATAGTATACTATGGTGTCACATACGCTGGAAAATGTAAATCAGATTGAATTTCTCATTTTTAAGTATGAATCTTAGAAAAGTTTGTTTGACTTGAAACTCATGATTTATTTGTAAAGAGATTTATTTGAATTAGTCTGTTTGAAACCAGATTTGAATTTGTTCTATGATAAATCCAACCAGTGCAGATAATCCAGATAGTGCAATTTCAATACTTGATTTGTTGCTGTAATTGGATTGTAAATAATCCGAGATGTTGAATCCAAAAGATTTAAACTAGATAATTTTTGTTTACAATTTAATATGTAATTCTTAAATAGTATAATTGTAGTCATACAAAAAATGATAAGTCGATAATAATTAATCACAATTCAAATACTTTTTATTTGTCAGTGGTTAAATATTGAAAAATTAGTTAATTACAGCTTATACTCAATTAAATTTTCAAAGCTTGTAGGTAGTTTGAATTGCTACTCTTTGTAAAAATTAGACACATTTTTCAATGATTTAGAAATTAAAAAAAATTTTATTCTGATTTTTCAAAAAAAAAATTTTAATTTAAGGATTAAGATAACAAAATATAATTATTGTGTACGCTGATTATATTTTTCATATTGTTTTTGAGTATTTATAAAAATCACAAAGTTACATGATCATAGCCATTAGTTTGGTCATTAAATTATAATAAAAGTATTATTAGTTGGATGATATTCGTCATACATTATATGTTTTAGATAAATTAATAAAAGTAGTAAGCAATCATATGGCAACCTCTAAAAAATTACACCTCTATTTACAAAATTTCAATAACAGCAGTAAAAAAAATTTAAGAGTAGTATATCTTTCACATCAAAACAATCTTAACCGCAAATAATAATGATTTAAATATCCTTCAGATGGAGGCAGCGGAAAAACTTGCAGTCATCTTTGCCAACTAAAAATTATAAAAATACGGTGAAGCTTTAAACTTTGTAATTTTTGTTATCTACAATGCATCACAAGCAAGAATTACCTTCCTTTCTGCATTCTTCAATCATTTTTAAATACTTCTTTTTTTTCGCTTCTGATTCTTCAGACGTAACTCCTTTAGCCAAAAGATCAATGTCAAAGGTTCCATCTGGTCTCATCTGCAATCAGTACGAGCAATTAAGAATTTATAACATGAATTAAAATTTTCCGAGTACTTATTCCTCATGTATACATATTAACAGATACTCAAGGATAGTTGTAGTTATTTAGTTTAATTTAAAAAAACATTTAATTTTTACATTTCATAATTTTTGTTGATCCCTTATAGAACAACAAAAATTCTATTATTTTTAATTATCTAAAACGTAAATAATTTTAGTTTTTGAAACTGTAAAGGGCACCTCAACGTGATAAATAATTGACGTGACTTTCAGTGCACTTCAAATACACTTTTTTAATTCCTAATTTTCATTTTAACAAACGTTTCGAAAACTATTAATATACAAAAGCACCCGAAATACAGGACATGCTCATAAAGCACCAAGTGCACACTTACCCAATGAAAAGCACGATAAACGCAGGCCATCAGGCATCCCCTCTTTTCATCGCTCAAACTGTCGCGCAGATCTTCGTCTCTACTATTTGGTTCAAGGACAGCTGGTGAGCAGTGTAATCAGAAAAATTTACATTTAATTCATTAAAACTCATCTGCTTCATTTGACTGATTTTTATTTTCAAGCCTTTAAATCAAACTTTTGATAACAGGAATATTGTCGAACGAAAATGGTACACAAAATAGATTACCTGGATCTATACTATGCTCAATCAGGCACTGTGTCAAGGTGACTTTAACTTTCGATGAACCATTTTTTCGCTCTAAATGGGGAACCTGCGAGAATAATCAAACACACGAAATTATTTTCAACGACAGATTCAAAATTTCAATGATAATTAGGAACTATAGATTGAAAATAAAGTGCCAACGAATTCTTGGCCGTGAAAGACAAAGTTATTAGTCCGGAATTTTCCAACGTGCGAACAGAATGTACAATTAATTGTCAAGTCAATTTTACCGCGTTGACCACGACAATGAGGCAGAGAAGCGAACAGATTACGCCGTAATTTTTCATTGTTAAAAAAGCTTGCGCGCTTGATCCGTCAAAGCCTTTACTTGATACTAAATTATGCGCAAGCACTAACCGTCCTTATATAGTACGGGGATCACGACTCAAACGTAATATCAGGTATTTTAAGTCACTTAACTATTTATACAATGTGTATTTTTTTCTGTAAGTGGTATTATTTATAAAAATTAAAAAACGGGCATTTATTTACTGTATCCATTTTCTATACCGTTCAGTTATATGTATCTTGTAGTACAAAAATAATATATTTTAGTGTTTGTACACCAGTAGTTTCCAATTAATGCATGCATGCCAAATTGTCAAGTTTCATTTTCACCATTTTACATTTTTTTAAATTAGTTGCATTATTAAAATTATTACTTAGCTTACATTTATTTTTCTTGCTAAAAATTTGCTCGTGAATTGTTTATTTTTTAGTATAAATCCATATGATAAATATATTTTTTCGATTACTCTGATACAATTTAATATATATTCATCATAAAATCTTCGT